ATCTGGTGCGCGTTGCTATTTATTAAATTATAAATACTTCCTTTTCGGCACAAATAACAAGCAATCCGACCGATCCTTTAAAGAAAAACTCTGAGTTCTGAGAAAAAAAGCAACCTCATTCCGATCCTCTTCGGCGGTAACATCTTCAGCTGTACTTTCGGAACCCTGTGGGTCATCCACGTCATCCTGATTCTGCATTTCCCCAATAATTTCTTTCGAATTGCTGTCAGCCTCAGCGGATAAGCCAACCTTGTTCTGTACCAAATCTTCCCCGAAGCGGTTATCCGTTGTGTGCAACAGCGATCCAGTGCTTTCGTGGCTTTCTGGGCTTCTGGCATCCGCTACCTCAATGATGGTTGTTGCTTCGGGACGGGAATCTGCGGGTGAATCTGTGTTTTCGTTTTCGCCGGAAATGATATTACACAGGGCATGATCATCGCTGACAAGGTGGCGTACGTCGCTGTCGCTTGCTGCTGGTGGTGGTTGAGTGGAATTTTCGGATGCTTCGAGTTCGTTGAGCAGCTCATCCATGTCCGCTACCGCATCCATCCTTGTTGCCCAGGCGCTTCCCCACTGCACAATCATGAAATACGATAACGTGCCATCTTGGTCGTCTCCAGCCACATACAACTAAAAGTACAGCAGGAGAATAACAGAGCTGCACATAAAATTTTAACCCTTACTTTTTTACATAAACACACATCATCTAAAATTAAAATTACAATAATGCAAATGCAAAAAGCTCTCAGAAAATGAAACAGGGCGCGTCACTGAATAACACACAAGAAAAAAATTAATAAAATATGCCAGCTCGGCTCGGCTGCACAGGCAAGTTACAATGACTAGCGGGTGGGGGGGACAGAGGGCTGGAGGCGCAGGAGGGAGGGGAGAAAGCGGGGGCGGTGGTTTGGGCCTCGGAGACCGTAACGGAAGCGAAGGGATCGGGGGTCACTGAGCCGAGACCGCGTCTAGAGCTACCTCCAGACGAGGACTGCGCAGAAGAAGGAGGTTCGTGCCCAGTCCGGAACCAGTTACCGGGAAGAAAGACAACAGCAGTGCTGGATGCGACACCCAGAAACTCACTTTGGCACCAAAAGCGACAATTACTAAACCTCGCTCGACCGGCGCAATACACGATTTGCGAAAAACTTTTTCGGCCCGTTGCGGGCCGGTAGTAACTACTATTCTTCGGCTCAGCCGTTGTCGGTATCCTGTGCCGGCGCAGCTTGGCACTTTGCCAGGAGCACAGGGTAGAGCTACCCAGCGTACGACGGCTGAAACGAGCGGTTGGTTGGAGGGTTGGCGTAGTTGAGGGGGTTGGAGGGGTGGTAATGGATAAGCGCCCAGATGCAGTTTCAGGAACACGAATTAGAGTAGGGCAGAGGAGAGGAACAAGGGCGTTAGTGAGGAGTTCGAAACGATTAATGATGATAGTAGATGGAGGTTGATGGGTAATAGGTGTCCAGACGCCGCTATGAAGGCAGAATATGGGGGCAGGACAGAGAAGAGGAACAAGGGTACTAGTTCGGAGTTCGAGGAGCTAGAGACAGTAGTAAAGAGGAAGGGATAAAATAGCAGTAAAAAAAAGCAAAATGAATTAAAACTTGAAATTAGAAAACAAAAAAACGGGAAAAAGCGAAATCGGAGAACCGGGACCTATGAATAAAAGGTCAAGAAAGCAAAAGCAAATAAAAACCCCGGCTGGAACGCACCAGGCGAGCCGGTGCGATCATGCTTTTTTGCACCAGACTTGAAATAATTAGGTTAACTGCATGAGTGGTAGTTTTTCTTTATACCTACCTTGTACTCTCAATACCGTAACTCATCGTAAATTTTGCATAAAAGAAAATAAACAATACCCGTTTAGCGG